GATTAGTGGGAGGAAGTTGGAAGGACCTTGAGAATAGTGAAAGACTGAAGATCCTTGTAAAGATTGTTATTAGAAACCTGATAACCTGTGAGAAGTCTATCTGTAAGGACTTTAGGGAGAATGAGGAAAATGTTATTGGAAACTAGAGGAAAGGACATCTTTGCTATGTAGTGGCAAAATTTTAGCAACACTATCACCTACAGTAATATGAAAAGTAGAAAATATATTTAATGAACTGGGTGATATAACTAAGGAAATTTACAAAGTATCAAAAGTGCTGCCTGGCTGCTTCTTGCTGCTCATAATAAAATGCAAGGGGAGTGCATTAAAGGAAGGACTGTTCAATACAAAGGAGCCAGGAATTGTTGGGTTTGAAAATTCCCAGTCCTTCTAATGGCAAATGATGCTAAAATTAGACCTGGATTTCTGGCAAAGATTAAATCCAGTTAGAAAAAAATATAGTCTAAAAATGAAGTCAAAATGTGATTATAAAATCTTTGTTATAACCTGAAAAGATTTAAGGCAGCACATCAGAGAACCATTCTGTCAAACATAAGGGCCTCTAGGTCGCTTAAGGCTGTTGTTCCTCAGTAGCCTTTTGAAGAAATCCGAGGTAGAGAAGGGCTTTTCTCAAAGATTTGTGGGTAAGCCTTTTGCCTAATGGTGTGAAACCTAATAAGATTCATGAGAGGCCTATAAAGTTTTTAAGAGATTTGTATTGGCAGAAACATTACCAATTTGTATTGATAAGAACATATAGAACAAAATGAAAACAAACCTTTGGACCCAAAAACGTGTATGGTCATGAACATCGGTTCTCAACCTGTGGGTCACGACCCCTTTGGGAGTCGAACGGCCTTTTCACAGGGATCATCACAGGGACCATTGGAAAACAAAAAGATATTTACATTATGATTCATAACAGTAGCAAAATTACAGTTATAGAGTAGCAACGAAAATAATTTTATGGTTGGGGGTCACCACAACATGAGGAACTGTATTAAGGAGTCACGGCATTAGGAAGGTTGAGAACCGCTGGTCATGAAGCAGTCTGTAAAAACTACTCAGCCACAAACATAGACAATTTTTCATGGGAAAAGAGAGATGATTCAGAGAGTAGAACCAAAAGAGCTGTGGAGAGTTATTCCTATGCTTTGAGTTCTAATCAAAGAACTGCCAACGTGTGCCCAATGTGTATCAGATTTGTTAGTAACTAGTGACTCCTCTAAACCTCTCATTTTCACTCTTTTGGAATGGAGAGTCTATAGTAACTATCCTTTGCCTGTGTCACCATTTTATATGTGTGTGTGTTGGGCAAAGAACTTGTCTCTTTAGTTCATAGGTCTTCAGATTGAGAGAAACTGTGCATGAAGAGCATCACCCAGAAGTTCATTTAAATGATGAGATCCTAGCCTTTATTTAAGCTGATGCTATAAATGGATGAGACTTTTGGGGTGGTCCTAGGAGGGGTGAGGATATTTTGCATTTAAGAGGAATAGAAATAATTTGTGGCTAGAGTGTGGAGTGTGGTGGTTAAAAATATTATCATTAAATTCTTTGATACTCCTCCCTTCAAAGGGTGGAGCCTAGTTCCACTCCTCTTGAATGTGGGCCAGATGGTGACTTGCTTCTAATGAATAAAATGAGGCAGAAGTGATGATTTTTGAGGCTAGGTCACAAAAAGGATAGCTCCTGTCTGGTGTGCACTCGATCTATCTCTCTCAATCTCTGTCTCTGTCTCTGTCTCTGTCTCTCTCTCCCTCACTCACTCCTTCCCCCCCCCTCCTCTTTTTCCTTCCCTCCCTTCCTCCCTTCCCTGTCTCTCTTGCATCACTCATTCTTGGGGGAAGCTGGATGCCATGTTGTGAGGACTCTAAAGCAGCTCTGTGGAGAGTGGAGAGTCCCAACTGGGGAGAAACTGAGGCCTTCTGCCAAAACCCAGCACCAATGTGCCAGTTGTGTATAAGAGCCACCTTGGAAATAAATCCTTCAGCCCCAGTCGGCCTTCAGGTGGCTACAGCCCTGACTGACAGCTTTCCTGTAACCTCATGAGAGATCCTGAGACAGCTAAGCTGTTCCTAAATTCCTAACACACAGAGGCTATAAGAAATAATAAGTGTTTATTATTATTTTAAGCCACTGAGTTGATGCAAGTACTTATGCAGCAATAGATTACCAGTGGATCTAGCCAAAATTATGATATAATGGGAGGATGACTGACCTCTCAAAAATCTATCCACCTAAATATGTAAAAGGAATTTTCTATACTCATGTTACTATAGGGAGGCAATAAAGTTTTCCTTTTTTTTTCATATTTTTCACAGTGATAGATGGATAGCATCCTTTGCATCTGTCTTTAAAAATGAGTAGACATAGACTGAAAACAAAGAATTTTAGAGATGGAAGGAAGCTAAGAGATTATGTAATTTAAGTTCTCTGTTTAGCACAGTGCTTTAGAAATGGTAGGTACTCAACAAATGGTTTTGATATACATATATATATAAATATACATATATATATATATGACATATGGACATATGTCTATTTATTCCTACAGTATTATTTAACATTTTGATTTATCAAAGTAATTCCCATTCATAGTTAATTAAATATTACTAATATCTTTCTTATCAAAAGCAGTCCTGTGCCTATGCTCCCAACCCTTGTCCCCCAGTGCAGCCATTTTTACCTTTTAAATCTGCATCTTCTGATAATTACCTTCCTAGTTCCAGATAATCAGCATATACTATTGTTTCTTGATGTATTAGCTTTAGAGAGTATTTACTGACTTTCCATTATGATCATTGAGGGTTTCTTTCTTACCCCAACTTCTCTCCTTCATTTTCCCAGTAGAATTACAATTTTCAGTTAAGCCGGTACTTAGTATTTACACTCTTATGCCTATAAATATTGTTCACTGATGATTCAGTAATGTATAATGATTATCTGCCCTCATGTTTGTTTTCTTGGAGTTAATTATTTCCTTTTCTTTCATTTGCTTAATTTTCTGTGCATGTACTGCTTGTTTGTTCCTAATGCATCACCAGATCTGTTGAATGCCTGGCAATCATTGTTTTTGCTGCTCAAACACCAAATATTACATCAGTTTCAGTTTCCTTGTCCTGGAGACCTCCCTCCACAGCATTGTATCCTCTTGCTCTAATCTGGATGGTTGCTGTCTCGCCTGGCTGACATGCTAGGACTTTCCTTAGCCATGCTGGTTTGGGGATTGTTTTTGAGAAAATTTGCTAATGTGGACATAACTAAAATGAGGAAGCATTCATATTTTAAAGAGATTCTTAAATGATTAGTATATACTGCATATATGTCCTGGATTCACCAGCCTGTGAGGTCACACATAAAATGAGGTCACATTTGCTTTGGATGACCAAATTATAACGGCTCAAGTCTTCACAGTTTGGCTGTAAGATCTCAGCACCAATAACTTTGCCAAGTGCCCTCTGAGTTTTTCCGGGGACCCTAAAGGGGCGTGCTCACATGTGCTCACTAATTAGTCTGTTCACAAGGCTATTCTACTGCTTCTGCTCTGACGCCCTGGCTGAAGTGGATTGCCCTAAATGCTGTTTGAAGGTGCTGATAGCATCCCTCGCTGCTGATAGTATCCCTCATAAGGTCGGTGTTGTATTTGCCAAGGGTGTTTTCTCCTGATTTTGTCATTTCCAAGAAAACCAGGGGGTACTAGGCTTAATGGGAGGTAATAAGAATGACCGTGTCCCCAATTCCGTGCCACTTGCCCACCCCCCTTCCTCCACTGCTCAAAGCCCAGAGCTTACAGTCTCTTTCAGCTTCTCCTGTGCAGTTTCCTGCTTATATACCTGGTCCCTTTGTCCAAACTAAAAATAATTGACAGTCACAACCAGCTGCTAAACATCCATTTTGGCAGGAACAACACAAAAGCTTGAAGGCTCAGAAGCATATCTCAGCCACATAATTTATGACTAAACCAGAGTGTTTAACATTTATGTTCTAGCGAGTTTTTCAAACCAGAGAGGCGGTCAGCTTTAAAGGGGGATGAAGCCTCCATTCTGGAGATAGAACACTACTTGTACTTTTCAAATCATGGACCTTTTTTTCTGCTAAATAAGATTGTAAATGACTTTGAGTCTGTTCTCCATCCAAGTACTAGATTGCAAATCTTTAAGAAGGTCCATATTCTTTTCGAAAACCTCAAATATTTTTTTCTTTAGGAAAATTTGGAAAGCTTTTATAGATATCTGTCAGTAATGAAACAGAGTTGAAATACTAAATGTTTCAGACTTTTCACTAATCAGACTGGCCTTTGCTCTAAAAACTGTCTTAACTTCCTGAGTTAGCATTTCCAAAGAATACTTGAAGGTGGAAATGCCAACCCAGAGATGTGCTAGCATACCACAACAAAGGAAAGATTTACTGGTGAGGTTAAAGTACTACCATGCTGATCTTTTGCCCCAAAGAAAGAATTGTTTCAAAACGAGGACCCTGTTGTTTCAGAAAGAAATGTCACGTGGTATATAAGACCCTCCATTATCTTCCCTTGCCTCTTCATCCTGTGCCATTTCCCCCCTTTCTAATGTTCCAATTGTCTTTATTTAGTGGATGAGGCTGGTTGGGTTCACAATTTATCCTATTAATAAGAGGTGGAGTCAGGATTTTAACCCAGGTCAATTTGCCTTTAAAACCTGTGGCCCTTTCCTGCTTACCACATCCCAATGGATCCAGAGATGACCCTGAAGAAGAAGAGCTGATCTGGGGAACTGCCCACCCATGTGGATTCTCTGGGATCCCCTTGGCTTATATTACGCTTCCCTGGTGATACTCTATGATGAAGGACATTCTGCATAGGATCCCCTGAGCAAGCAAACCCAACCCAAACCTCACTGTCCCTCTCCCTTCTTCTAATGTCTTTTGTCCCACCCCTTTTTTGGAGAGAGACCAAGTAACTGGTTGCTGAATCTGCACTCTGTTCCCTATAAGCCATCCAAAGGGCAGACCCGGGTTACCTTTCCTATGACATCTGTCAACAGCTTGAGGGCCAGAGGATCATGGACCAAAGAGTCTGTATAAAAGGAGCCAAGGTATTTCTTTGGGTTGACTGGATTGTCTTGGGCACACAGATCTGGACGCACACTGAATCCATGAGAGATTCTTCCTACTGTGAAGGGGAAGGCCCCACCTGCAAGGAAAACCCATTACTGAAGGGCTTGCTTCTATTGCAAAGGATTTCTTTTGGTCTACTTGTTGTATACAAAGAGAAGTCACTATCGTCCAGCTGGTTAACAGTATTTATAATGGACCTACTGGGCTCTATATGCTAAGAGATGACCCAGAAGCAACAACATGAACTCATCTAGAAATTCAGATTTGAGGAATTTACCCTAAAAAGAGAAGACAGATGTGTAAAGATATGTGGCCAAAGTTTTTGAATGTAGCGTGGTTAAAACTTCAAAATACTGAGGCAGCCTATCAGTTGGGGAATATCTAAATAATAATGGATATCCATAAAATGTATTCCCATTTTATGTAAGTCAAAAGGACTTACTGACATGGACGATGTCTCTGTATGTGAGTAAGAAAGAAAAGCAGATTAGAGAACAGCATGAAGAGAGAGAGAGAGAGAGAGAGAGAGAGAGAGAGAGAGAGAGAGAGAGAGAGAGAGAGAG